CTATCCTCTCAATTCTTCATAGCAAGTATCATTCCCAGATATCATATTACATGCCCTTTATAATTTGTTTCTGTCACTGGACTATGACGTTCTATAACTGCAAAAACTGTCTTGTTACCATTATTCTTTTCCTTTTTTAAGACAGAGACTCGCTCTGTTGCACCCAGACTGCAGTGCAATGGCACAATCTTGGCTCACAGCAACCTCCACCTCCTGGGTTCAAGGGATACTTCCACCTCAGCCTCTCAAGTAGCTGGGATAACAGGTGCCCACCACCACACCTGGCTATTTTTTTTTTTTTTTTGTATTTTTAGTAAAGATGGGGCTTCACCGTATTGGCCAGGCTGGTCTTGAACTCCTGACCTCAGGTGATCCACCCACCCTGGCCTCCCAAAGTGCTGGGATTACAGGTGTGAGCCACCATGCTTGGTCACAATTATTCTTTATTACCCAGAAAAGCATCTTTCTCATATAAGGACTCAATAAGTGAACAAATGAATTAATGAATGAACACCTAAGGAGAATAAGAGAATCATTAAGTCTACATAAATCATTTCTCGAGAATATGGATTTGCATATTATCAAGGTCATGCTCAGTCTTGCATCTCCTTTTATATCTGTTTCATAAAACTATTATATTATGATCTCTTCAAATTTGAAATTGTCTAAATTAATTCGAGGTAAGCATGTTAACTATACTTTTCAGATTCAGGTATTGTTGGCATAAACTCCTATAAGATAAAACTATTTCATTTTTACATGTGTCTTTTGAAACTCAGTTTTTGATACCTATTACCAAAATCACAGAATGCAATTTGATTTTACTTTCAGCTAACTGAGATAGGAATGGCTTTCAATGTTCAGTTCCAGGGATTCCAATTATTCTTTATATTCTAATGCATGAAGACTGGTAGCAATGTATATAAATAACATTATAAAGGGCTACTTCTGTGATTGTTTTGAAGATCAGAAATATGGTCATAGGGGCTCTTTTAATGCCTTTATAAAGCGAAATCACAAAGGTCAGCCAATGAGAAGGGAAAAGAGGTTTTTTTTTTCCTCATTCCCCCACGTATCCTTGCCCTTTTGTACTGTAAATTGCAGCAGCTGGCATTTAAATGCACAATGTCAAAGGCAGAGCACATGCATTCAACCTGTGCAAAAGGAGAGCCAGCTAGGGGCAGAAAGAGAAAAATACTGCCCTAATGCCTTCAAAGGCCAAGCTGCCAACGATACATTTCACCTCTCCCATTTCTCCTATCATAGTATTTGCCTTGTGGACAAAGAGGAAGTAACCAAAGGAGCACTTTCCTTCCGACAGAGCAAAAGCTATATTCCACCGCTGAGACCAATAACCCCTCCTAGCTGCCTTTGTTAAGCAAAGATGCCAGGGATGATGATCTGAACCATTTCAGCCCTTAAATCACGTTTGCAACAGTGGCTATTTTTGTTGAGGGCTAATTCCACATTTCGCTTATTTGTCTCTCACAAGGAAAATTACTCATCCAGGACGGAGTAGGTATTACACACAAATGAAAGTGGGATTCAGACACTAATAAGAACATATTGTAATAATTTCAACCAGAGGCAGTCTGTCATAATGGGTAGGGTGAGTGTAACAGTTATTTCCCTGGTTTAGGAATACACGCCAGCTGGCAAGGAAGGGTGGATGTTCGGCTATTGTCCTCCAGCAACTCAGTAGGAAAAAGAAAATAATCTGTCTGTGCTCACATCATCAAATATGTCTTCAGCTGTTGTTTCACACTGTGTGTGTGTGTGTGTGTGTGTGTGTGCGCGCGCGCGCGCGCGTATGGTTAAACTAAGCAACTGAAAGGCAAATTATTGAATCAAGTAGTTGCTCAATCCAATCTTTTTTTAATGTTTTGGTTTATAAATAAAAATTCAGGATCATCTACCCAAGTTTCCATTCTTTCTTTTTTCCTGCTCCAACATAGCCAATGATGATACCATACAACATACTTCCATCCCAAACACTGCACTCTAAAAGCAGCGATTGTCCAAAAGAAAAAATACCTCTTCACTCACCTCCAGCTCCCATGGAGGTAGGTGGCCACAAGAATCTCAGAATCTTGTGCAGTTTGACAAAGTCTCATTCTTTGAGACTTTTCAAGGTACTTTTTCCCTTATACTCAACCCCCAATCCCAACAGAAAGCCAAAGACTCCATTCCATCATCTTGGTTTACAAAGAAAAAGCAGAAGCCTGGAGCAATGAGACTTGTGCCCAAGGTTGTTTCACTGCAAATGGCTGCTTCTTTTATGAGTCTTGATGAGTGTTTTGCTTACCTGATAGCACAGAATCACCCAAGGATCATTTAAAAAATATAGATGTCTTTCTTATCCTTGTACCAGGCCAACTGAATTATAATCTCTGATGGGAAGAGAGATTCTGGTATTCTAAACCTCTAGAGATGCTGTTTCAAGGTAAGCAGGTCTATGCAAACCTACCCCCAAAGGGCAAGGGAGCTGAGAGGCTAAAAACAGAAATGAGCAGATCCAGTTTCTCTGAAAGAAACATTTAATAGGGATTTACGAGAAGAAGCCATGTCTTAGGTAGCTGCAAGGTGGTGGATCCCTGCACTGTTACCCGCACCATCCCCCACCCCTCCGTCAACCCCAGAGCCAGGGCTTCTATACCTTAGAGAAAGGGTATAGATGTTTCAGAAGGAATTTGCCTATAAGCAAGATTTATGGTGAGTACTTGAAAGAAGAAATCTTAGAGGGACTTGGATTAAGCAGAAGTCAGCATGGTGGATTAGTATCCATGATGGAGTTGCTTTAGCCTCCACAGATGCACATTTTTTAAAACATATTTTTTGGTTTTAGAGACAGGGTATCACTCTGCTACCCAGGCTAGAATACAGTCGTGTGATAACTCACTGCAACCTCTATTTTCTGGGCTCAAGTGATCCTCTTGCCTGAGCCTCCAAAGTAGCTAAGACTACAGGCATGTGCCACAGCCCCAGGTTAATTTTTTAATTGTTTGTAGATATGGGGTCTCACTATGTCGCCTGGGCTGGTCTTAAACTCCTAGCCTCAAGTGATCTTTCCACCTGGGTCTCCCACAGCACTCACAAATGCGTAATTAAAAGTGTCTGAGATGGAGCATAATCATCCACACTGGACATCTCTGAGCATAAAAGAAAATGTGAGGAATAGTTATGTCAAAGCTACAGACGCAAGCTGCTGTATATGTGACCTTAACTTTGGGTGATACTACTGAGTACCTCCTGCCTCCCAAGTGCTAATGGTCACTGAAACTTTGACATTTGTTTTAGAATCAGAGAAAACAGATTTCAAGTCCTAATTCCTTCCTATATCTGCATTAGAAATTTTTGCTCCTGAAAACAAATGAATATTTGCTCTTCTGTGAAATTAGGGTGACAATTTTCATCAATTTCCTTAGGCCCCAATGGAGTGATTGAAACCTTGTAAATAGATGTGAACATGGGCATGAATGATCAAATCACAAATAAAGGGAAATCTTGACGTTTTAAGGAGTTAATGCAAGTAAAGTGCTTGTAATTCAATAGGTAGACAATAAATGTAAGTTCCTTTTCCACGTGGGGCTTTAATAAACAAAATTGCAATGATCTAATTGCTATTTTTGCTACTTTTGGGTAGAAATCATTTTTAAAAGCTGATTTTATAATGCCATAAGAAAACAAATGGCTTTCATAAAGTTTAGAAGTGAGTGTCCTCTGACATGCACTAATGGTAAAAGATGGCAGCTCAAATTCAAGCAGCCTTTCAAATGCTCTTTCTGGTTCTACTGTTTTCCTGGCAGAGAGGAAAGAATTATTTTTAAAACAGCAAAACTGTCTATTATTCTCTCAAAACAATTAACACAAAAACTTTTGAATTCAGTGAAGGTCAGAGGATTAATAGGTTTTATCTGCAATGTGTTTGAAAAGCTAATTAAGACTACACATTCAGCAGAGGAGATTGGGAATACAATATTTAGTTTTTCTCTACATGACCACAGTGAGCAAGAGTGAATCAAGACAAAGTGTATCTGGAAACTCACAGATGGGAAGCGAATCCTTTTTGAAGAATATAAAACTAAAAATACATCTCATGTGATGGAAGATGCTTCCTTTATTTATTCAATGGGTGGATTCAGCATCTGCTTCGTACTGGTATAACTCTAGGTGCTAGATACTCAGTGTCCAGAAAGACAGAATGGTCTCACTTACTTTTTGTTTTTCCTCTATCCTAGAGACTGCTTAACTAGCAAAGGAACCACATTATAAATTAATGGAAAAAAATTGTTGTTACATGCCAAAAGGAAAATGGCTTTGGGGTTCCCCAAACTATTGCTTAACAACAACTGAAAGGGCCAGCTGAAGTGCTCATGTGAAAACAGTATGTTCTAAAAAGTCATCATGGCAGAAAGGTATCTATTTCCCTCTGAATCTTCCATTTTCCTAACAACATTCTTCTTCCAGATAAAAGTGAGGAAATGGCAGAGATCGCAGAATTCTCTGAGGAAACTTATCTGCTAAAAAGGCATTTAAATAAACACTGAAACATGTTCTCTTCTCCCTCCTTTGAGGCGCAGTTGCTATATGCTGGGTGAATTCCCTTCATAATGATGTCCCTGGCTCTGTCCTCTCAGTCTGCCATGTTGGATCAGGCACTTACCTGTCACCAGCATTGTTTTCATTGTTTTGAGCTCTGTAATATTTATTGATATAACTTTCTAGCTACTATTTCTCTTGGTCTCTTGCCAAAATATTGGCAGATTGATACCTTTTAGGGATAGATATGATCTTGTCAATCCCTTTCCTTTACACCTTTACCTGCCAAATGAAGTGTAAATTACGCAGTTGTGCCCACAAGCCTAAGTACATCAGCTACGTTTCCTATCAGGATCTTGCTTCCCAATTTCATTTCCCACTGTCTCTGCTGTTCTCTCTTCATACTTGGCCTGAGCTTTTCTTCATCCTCTTCCCACCTAATCTCTTTTGCCTTTTTCAGAAGGACTCAGCCATAGAAATAAGTATATACAGATGGCCAACTCTGCATCAACATGTTCTGCATAGGTGAGCTTCACCATTTTTTGCAGATCAGGACTATTTGGGGTCAGGTGTGGTGGCTCATGCCTATAATCCTAGAACTTTGGGAGGCCTAGGCAAGAAGACTGCTTAAGGCTAGGAGTTTGAGACCAGCCTGTTCAACAGAATGAGATCCTTTCTCTACCAAAAAAAAAAGATTGGCCCAGTGTAGTGACCCACTCCAGTAGTCCCAGCAGCTCAGTCCCCTGAGATAAGAGGATTGCTGGAGCCTAGGGCTTTGAAGCTGCAGAAGCTGTGATAGCACCACTACATCTCAACCTACAGAGAAAGATCCCATCTCTAAAAACAAAAAATACAGTTTTGAGTCCAGTGTGTCTTTTCCTTGGAGTTCAGTGCTTAATGACTTTGTAACTCTGGCGTTTATGGAAGCAATCTTGTTACCAGGTATAGAGTTTTTACCCAAAGCCTTAACTAAGCAGAAAAGCTGATGGGATATGAGAGATATGTATATGGAGAGAGCCATGATAATATCCTTTATAACTCTGAATCCAACATTCCTCCCATTGGACTTCCAAGAAATGTAATCTAATACATATTTTAAAAACTAATTTGGACTGAATTAATCATGATAATTCAAAGACATAAACGTTCCCCACAAAACAATGGGAATTTCACACAAAAAATTATTGTGCGAAATCACTGTTGCTCACAATTTACATAAGGAGTAATTTAGTTCAAAATAGTTAAATAAAATTTGGGGCAAGTTTATGGGACAAGACTTAGGCCTAACAAATAAAGCATCTGATGTCTTCAGTACTTACTACCCCATTACAAACACCTCTACTGATCCTTGGTTTATCTCAATAATGACAACTATAACATGTTTTAAAACCTCCTAAGTCTACTGTAAATACAGATTATAATGAAGAGGCTTTGTGTTTTTTTCAAGGCTCTATTAGAAAAAACATAGTGGAAAGGTATAACAGGAATAAATTATTGATTACTATGTAGCATAAAGGATAGTGGATTTTTTTCTAACTATAGATACTAGCAAAGCAAATAAATGTAACAGCGTTATGGGTAGCAGTGTCTAATTTGTCTTGGGCTGTCCCACTGTGTTTATTAATAGTTTGGAGGAATAAACATGCTGCTAATTTTATACTCCAGCTATAAAATGCCATCTTTTCACATTAAACATTTTAAAAACAGAAGTAAAGCTCAGAATAAAATTAAAAGAAGCATTTGAATTTTGTTTCCTATTTTATTCAAAAGATAAAACCAATGAAAGTTACTCTGCTTTTGGTTATAAAAATTTTTAAATTTACATTAGTATAATGTTTTCTGGCAAGTAAATGTTGAATGGACAAATATATTTTTCTTCCTAAGTCTCATTAAATACATATTTGTTCAGTCTCTAAACCAGCTACCAAATAATAGGCATATTTAAACAATTACCAGAGAGGTTATTTTCCCCCTATAAGAAGTTGCGCAGCAAGGTGAGGTTTATCAAATGTAAAATCTTCTATTTAGTTTCTTATCTCACTCTCATTATTCAAGAATTTTAAAATTGCTGTATCTATTCTAAACCTATATGGAGGTTTATTTGACTAAAGAATATTTAGGTTGAAAATTACAAATTACAAACATAACCTAACTTAGACAAAAAGGAGGAATAATTAAATCATGTAATGTAATGTCAGGAAGTCAGGGGAATAGTACTTCCCAGGGATACATGAATTATACTCTTGAAATACCTTTAAACTTCTGCCTTAGTATTTTTTGTGTGTTATAATATGGGGCAGCATTATTTTTAAGATTAGCTACCACATTAAGGATGTAAACATGGCCAATAGCATTTCATGAACTCACTTACATTTCATCTATAAAAAGAGATCATCTTCCTTTTGTCCTTTTTTTAAAAGCCTATGGACAGCACGCTGGCCCACCTTGGGTCACAGGCCCACACTCATGTGGAAAGTGACAGGTGGCTCAATGACAGAAACTTGAAACCCCATTTGAGCTACACGGTTGGAGTTTAGGAGAAGGGCCATTCACCAAATGAGCAGAATAAGAAGGAAAGAGAAATGCCAGGAAAATTATAACTGTTCATTATCAGCTTTTTGTTGATTTAGTCTTTCATTATGCAAGAATATGGGTTTTTAACTCATCGTATTTATATACCCTACCTATCCACATTCGAAGGCACACATGGAAACTTTATGCCCCATGTTACCAAGGCATCAAACTGAATAAAAAACTGTTTTCTAACCTGCAGTCTTTAACTCCTTCCGGCCTGACTGTCAGTTCCTGTCCCTAATTGGTTATTCTGCCCTGCGTCTTTCACAATGACATTCACATATCCATGCCTTCTCACCGAGGCCAAATCCTTTCAATAGAGAACATTTCATAGCAAAGTTGAAGTCATGGCTTTTTTCAGATGCATTATATTTTTACAGGCCCTTTATCAACAAGAAAAAGTAATTCGTGCATCAATTACCTTTCTGTCTGCACTTTTTTAGTTAAAGATTTCATACCTTAGTTTGTCTTGTCATTTTGACAAAATTTGAGTGAAGCTAAAATTCAGTTGCAATAGGAATTAAATTTGGCACATACTTTTGAAATCTAAATGCTGAAACTGTAAGTTCTATTGGAAATGGAAGAAATTTGTTCAAATAACAAATGATTAGAAATGGCAAGCATGTGTGATTAGGACCTCAGCTAACGGCTTTGCTGCATGAGAAAGCTTCCCAGGTGTTATCTTCGCCCTTCAGTTGATAAACAGCCTTTTACATCGTTGTGGATACTTTAGATTTTACTCTGAGTGAAGCGGAAGCCTCTGTAAAGGTGGAAACAGATGAAGGCAGAGCCTCCATCAACCTGGGTGCCTAAGCAGCCATGATGAGTACAGCAACTTTCCCAACTTGTGCATGAACAAGAAAAAAGCTTTCTCATTTGTCAAAGCTGCTGAAATTTTCAGGGGCTATCATATTATTGTTACAGTATGAACTTGCCTTTAGAGGTAAGCGACTATGCTGCAAAAGCTGAGATGGTTCATAAAGGGAGCGAGAAAAGTTCAGCTAGTAAACATATTTCAAAGGTGAAGATGACAGGATTTAATCATGAATTAAGGAAGAGAAATAGAGGAGTCAAGTGTGACTAGAAAGATTAAAGCCAGGGGGAAAATTGTAATAATCTACTAATAAGAGGAAAATATTGAGTATAGAGCCACATTTAGATGTAGAGGTGTGTGTGTGTGTGTGTGTGTGTGTGTGTGTGTATACATGAGGTTTTTGTTGTTGTTGTTTGTTTGTTTTTGTTTTAAAAAAACATATTAACTTTGAGAAGTCTACTGGGTATTTACATGGAGATGATGAATAGGCAATTGGATAGATGAGTGTGTGATTTCAGAGTTCAGGGAGAGGTCAGAGTTGAAGACATACATTTGAGAGTCATTATTATAAGAATGGTTTTAAACTCACGAGACTATGAGGTCACCAAGGAAGTGAGGATAGAGAAAGAGAGAATTGAGCCCTAGAGTGCTTCCAGTTTGAGACTCCAGAAAGAAAGGGAGGAACCCAGCAAAAGAAAACATGAGAGTGACCAGAGAGCTTAAAAGGAAAGTGAAGAAAGAGGTAGGCTGTGAAATGCCCTTGAGAACGGAGTTTACCTTTGGATGTGGTAATGTGGAGAGTTGACAAGAACTGTGGTGGAGATGAAAGACTGAGTACAGTAGGGATGAGAGACTGGAAGGAGAGTGTAGACAACTCTTATTAGGAGTTTAGCTGTAAGGGGATCTGTGACATCAGACAGCAACCTGAGGAGTATGTGCTATCAATACTAGGACATTGATATAGTACACAACATGTCTATCTATCATTTATCTATCTATCTATCTATCTGGCTCTATCTACACACACACACACACACACACACACACACACACACATTCATATGCACACATATGATATAGCTCATTTTATGCTGCTAAGAATGACCACAGAAATCAAAACGAATTTGCAGAGATGAGAATTGCAGGAGTGATGCTCCGTAGTTAGCAGGTGAGGAAAGCAACCTGTGCACCAGTGGAAGGATGTTTCCTGGAATATGAACATTGTAACCATTGTATTGTGCTGTATTCTCCCAAGAAGGCAGAGAATGTAAGGAATGTAAAGAAATAGATGAAGTACATTATTGGATTTGATGGTTAGAGATTATGGAAGATCTCTTCTAATTTTTATTTTCTGAGAAAAATAGGAAGCAAGGAATTTGGCTAATGGAGAAGAAGGGTAAAAAAAGTAAAGGAGAGTTTTAAAAAGGAATAATTTGGAGAGAGTAGTCTCAGAAAAGAGAGAGTGAACTTTTAGGATTCCTTTTCTAAAACGTAATTGAGTCACCAGGCATTCTTTCAAAAAACTACTTATGATTAAGTCACAAACGTCCACTGAGCCCTGCTGCATGAGTAGCATAGTGGAGCAATGATAAGTAGTACTACTTCCTGGGAATGCTGGTGTCTATACATGTTTTTAGAGGGAAGACAGCCCAAGTAGTTAACCATATTCCACTGATGGGCTTGTATCACATGTTCGAGCCATGCTGTATTTTCTTCTTTGTCCTCTGATTTATGTAACCATACGTTCTCACCTCTACATCAGCATGGTATCTTTCAAGACAATTATTTTACGTGCCTTTTCTTCTGGTGTATTTTAGCATTAGCTACTTCATCTGTTACCTTTAGCTACTTCAACATTTTGACCTTATATCTTAAAATTAATATAGCTAACAGGATATGAGCAAGTGACTAACAAAATTACTTAATTTTTTTATACTGACACATTATTTTTTGAAAAATACTGTTTTTAATTACAGAAGTATTACATTACATGTGCTTCTCAAGCCTCCTTTAACTACCTACGACAAACAAACTTTCTAAAAAATAATCAAAATCCTTATTTTCCAGTCTAGAAACTTGCTGTCCAAATTGCTTTTCCCTATTTTTTGCACTACAAATAATTATTAAACTTTCTCTCCTACCTTAGGTTTATTGTCTTTGGGGTTTTTCTTTTTCTTTTTTTTAATTTATTTTATTGCATTTTAGGTTTTGGGGTACATGTGAAGAACATGCAAGATTGTTGCATAGGTACACACGTGGCAGTGTGATTTGCTGCCTTCCTCCCCATCACCTATGGGGTTTTTCTACTGAGATGTCTCAAGATATTTCTTTGCCCTGAAGACAATTAATCATTATTCCACACATGTAATAAATTTTATTTTTTTTAGTGCCTTTGGTTTATGCAGACATCAATAAAACATACTATTATTAGGTTCACAGTGATATTTTTTGCTGGAATAGGTAGTCAGGAGAGATGGTGTAAATTGAGGTTACAGATAGTGAACATTTACTATGGTCTTACTTCCTGGAATAAACTCTTGACCATACCACTTTTTAAAAAAAAAAAAATAACTAACCTTCTAGAAGAGTTAGACAAGTGGCTAAATTTAAGACAATAATAACAATAATAATAATAACATCATTTCAAAGTTTAAATAATCTAGATATCAGTTTCATTTAGCCACATGTTTAATTTTGAAAAAGTAGAAGCTTATAAGTCCTCTTAAATGTAACGTAACCCTTCTTCTTACAGGATTACCTCCACAAACTCAAGAAAGATACCCACTCTTCTGTTTGAAAACTTCAAATGGTAGCGTTCACTGACTTATAAGATTCCCCATATAATCTTGAACATCCCACATTGTCTACTTCTAACTTCCACCATGGAGTCTTCATTCTTAACGATAATAAAAAGTAAGTCTACACCACCTAAATAGGAGAATAGATCAAAGTTAGGAACATGGCTTTGATGTTTCCTCACTTCCATGTTACACATCCACATTTCTGAAATACTCTCTCCTGAATATAATCCGGTTTGTTTCAAGCTATCTTTATTAAAATTAAAGACTGTTGTCCAAGCGTAATTCTAAAACTACAAAGTAGAGGTGACGTTATGTTTTAATTAATGAAACCTGCAATTTCATTTGCTTTTGTTGATCACATTGCATTATTCTATGTTGAGTTGCTTTTTTAAAATACTTAAGTATTCTCTCTACAGATGACACTAAAAAAGTTATCTGTAAATAAAAATTTTAAAATCATATCACCTATATTTCCTCTATCTAGAAATGACTTCTTCTTGAAGATAATTCTTATATTTGTTTTTTAATGTTGTAGCTACTCCATTAAATCATTTTTTTACCCTAATCTAGGGACTAATCACCCAACCCAATTTTAGCTCAAATGTTTTGGACAAAGTTTATGTAATTCCTCTGTTGGATGGATAGGCCCCATGGCCTAAGCTAAAACAATCAGGTTATTCTTTCATCCTCACCACAAAGGTTAGTTTGGGAATGGGCCTTTAAGGACTGATATTACTCAAGTTTTTGTTTGACCTTTCAGGACACTGATCTATGTCACCCTGCCTGCTTTCCCAATCCCCTAGCAGGACATGAACAAGAGAGGATATAGGGCAGCACCTCTGGCCAACTTACAGCTATATGGGCCAATCCTAAGGGAGTGGAGTCCAAAAACAGAGACAGATAAATCTCCTGATGACATCATGTGACCTCTGCATCAAGCTAAACTCAAAGCCAGTTAACTCCTGAAGAGTAGTTGGATAAACTAATATATTCCTTGTTTTAGATCATCTGCCACTTGCAAGAGCAAGTACCTTCAGTGATGTACCACTGTTAAAAGTGCATGTGTTCCACTCTCTATCCTGATTAAAAATAAGTATTACATGTGTCTTGATCAAATATCTAATTCCATAGGTGTGTGGTGTCCCTGTTATAGATCTTTAACAGTCACCCACCAACCATAAAAGAGAAATAATTTCTATACTTATGCCTTGATTTTTTTGTGTAAGCCCTTGTATTTACCCTATCATGGTGTTCAATATTAAGCAGATTTCCTTACATATATTATGGGCTTATTAGATATTTGTTGAGTGAATGAATGAAAGAAAGCATAATTTCTATAAGAAAAGTGAGAGTCAGACATATAGGATCTCCTCTGCATTTTTTCCTCCATGTTTACCACTGTCTGCAATATAATCTCAAGGAAATTAGCAAAAAAAAAAAAAAAAAAATGAGGAAGAAAAAAATAAGACAGTAAAGCAGTCTACCACCATTGTTTCCTAGAATTGGAAGACAAAGTGTTTTTGAGTTGCAAAAGACAGTGAAGCTTTATTTGGTAACTTTCATTCACACTGACTTCACTCTACTTACTGGTGATGATGGGCAAGTTATTTACCTATTCCTATTCCCTTTCTATAAAATGTGGATTATAATGATTACCTTACACAGTTGTAACAAATAAGAAAACAGATTTAATAACTGTTGTTATGATTACTTTAAAATCCTCCTGATGAATACATATTGGCAGAATTTGCTGTTGGTTCAAAAATATGCGTCTGGGATCCCTAGAGAGGCTAAAGTTGAAGGAGATATCACTTTGATGTTTTTAAAGCTTTACTGGCACTGAAAGAAAAATGTTATAGACTTTTAGGATATGTAACAGCAAAATTTGTCTGGATATTTCACATCGGCATTATTAAATATGTATCTTAAATGACAAGGAAATCTCAGGCCATGCTGTCACATTATTGCCTAACAAATGGATCAATATCTCTCCATATTTTTAAATTAAGATTAACAGATTAAAAACTAACTTGTTTCTAACTGACATTCCACTTCCTGACACTCTGTGTCATTTTCCCATGAAAATTTATGACATTTGCAAAAGACTACTGTATAATTACATTATTTTCTTACTTTTTTCAGAAAATAATTTATCTTATTAATAAAAATAAACTAGAGTTTAAAATAATTTGTCTCATATGTGTGCAGGGCCTGCTAAAAATATTGATATATAAATGCACACAGAGAAGAAATATGTACAGTCTATTTACTGACATTTACTGATTCTTCCTTATATGTATTTCAATCCTCCCTGTTGAAAGAGCTTAATAAAAGGTAACACAAAGCTGGGTGCAGTGGCTCATGCCTGTAATCCCAGAACTTTGGGAGATGGAGGCAGGAAGATTACTTTAGTCCAGGAGTTTGAGACCAGCCTTGGCATCACACTGAGACCTCACCTCTACAAAAATAAACAAAATTAGCTAGGGATGGTGGCATGCACCTGTGGTCCCACATAACAGGAAGCTCAGGTGGGAGTATCACTTGAGCCCAGGAGGTTGAAGCTGCAGTGAGGCCAGTTTGCACTACTGCATTAAAGCCTGGGATACAGAACAAGACCCTGTCTCAAAATACAATAATAATAATAATAATAATAATGGCAATAATAAAACATAACATGACTCTCTTACATTCAAGTTTAGGGGTGATTTTGTTTTTGTCCTCAGGGAGGGTAGCCCCAAGTCCCCAACATAAGCATTAAAAAGATTAAAAATAGTCACATGTATACTAGTCCTTTTTTCCAGGCCTAAATAATTTTTAATATAAACTTTCCCTCTTTCTGAGTTTTTATATTTATTTTAAAATTCCTTTTTAAACCAAAATGCCTTTACCGCATTTTTGCATTCAGCCCAAGCACACTTTTGTATTGTTGAAACCAAAAGTGAATGCGTAAAATATTATCTCAGATATTCTCACAGTAAGTCATGGTGGTAACTTCATTTCACCTTCTCTAAAACACATTAGCTTCTATGTGCCTAATCCAGAGCTAATATCAGAGGTAATCAAATATATCATACTAAGTCAGAAGACTTTCCACTATTGGAAAACCTCTTACTCTCAAAGGTATAAACAACTATCCCCTTACATAAGTTCCATGATTATAAAACACACTCTGAAAATATACTCTTTCCTTCAAAGCTTTTCAAGCATAACAATATTTTTAATACAGTCAAGCTGCCATCATCTGAATTCAGACTTGCAACCTAATCTGTTGAGGAACAAAAAGCTAACTTGAAAGCAATCTACTATTGGCTTGTACTTTTGGAGTCTCAATAAGTCAAGGCTGGGAAATACTGATTAAACCAGGTCTAATTTGTACTAGATTTTCAATTATTTACTACATGAATAAATATTTAAAAATTTTATCTGAAATGTAAAATAATATAACTACCCCAATATCACTCAAAAGTGTGTGAATTATCTATATTTTATAACTTGATAATAACTGCTGGATTACTCGTAAATATTCTGAAAAAATTTAATCTAGAGTTCAGTGTCTAATAATACCAATTGGATGCATTTATTAATCTCGCCCAAATACATATTTGCAAAACCCGAGAAGAAGAAAAACAAGCGCTTTTCTTTCTTTCTTTTTCTTTTTTTTTTTCCTTTTTTTGAGATGGAGTTTCACCCTTATTGCCCAGGTTGGAATGCAATGGGGTGATCTCTGCTCACTGCAACCTCCACCTGCCGGGTTCAAGCAATTCTCCTTACTCAGCCTCCCAAGTAGCTGGGATTACAGTCACGTGCTACCACGCCCGGCTAATTCTGTATATTTAGTAGAGACAGGGTTTCTTCATGTTGGTCTAGCTGGTCCCAAACTCCCACCTAAGGTGATCTGCCCACCTCGGCCTCCCAAAGTGCTGGGATTACAAGGGTGAGCCACTGCACCCACCATCGAGTGCTTTTCAAATAAAGAGAAAGATGTGGATGATCAGAAAAAGCTATAATCTTCTCAATATACAAGTCTAGAAAACGGAAGGATGTTCTTTTAAACTGAAATTAACAATAACACATATGAAAAATACTATATATTATTTTGTCTAATTATAAATGTACATATAAACGTTTCAAGTAGGTTACTTTTAGTTACATGTAAATGTAGAAATTTAAGTGACCTGTAATCTGCCATATATATTATCTTGAGCTAGAACAACCTGTTACAAAAGATACAAAAGTAAAATAGACAATATTCTAATGTTTGGTAGACAGTAACATTTAATGATATATTCAAAGCAATAAGCTTCTATAAAGGACTCTTTGCAATTTCTCAATGACAAAACAGATCTTATGGAGAGAAAGCAAATGACCAAAGCTTTTAGTTTGTGTGGAATTTAATATTATTTGTCCCATATAGTAATTGAAAATATTCTTTGGAATTAGATATGAATGTATCCTTTAAATAGCACAAATTCTTTATGAGTTCTATACTAGATGACTCTTATCTGATCAATTCATCACCGCAAAGATGTTTCAGTGTAACGTTCTAATGGGATACTGTACATAAATGACTGATCCTTAAAGAGCTTTGCTAAAATACATTTCACAAACTTACCTCGGTGAGCACACAGGACATTTTGGATATATCTTTTTCTAAAATTGAGGCTTTTTCCTCTGAATGTATTTATTATTGGAATTTAGTTTTATCACCGGAGTCTCCTAATCATATATTGTATACCTTACAAATGTATGCCTCTCTTTTAAGGCAATCTGCATAGAATCATAGTCATAATTTGAAAACATCAAGTTTTTTAATATCAGAGCATCTGTGGTATTATATCCAAAAAAAGAATATTTTTTTTACCATGTACTCATTAAACTTGTAACTGATTTGTAAATGATTTCTATTATCTTTTCACTGTCTGCTTATATATTCTGTCCTTCTGAGCATCAATCTTTATGTCCGTCAAACACTAGATTGAACAATTAAAGCAAAACTAGACAAAACACAAAAGATTTACTCTTCATACAGCCATATTCCTTCCCCCTTCCCCTCAAAATCTACATTTTAGTCTCCATTTTTGCACCTCCCATTCCAACCTGGCTTCATCCTTTCACTCCACTGACTGCTCTTGCATCTTCTGCCCTCATAAAACAAACTTCTAAGTGACATTCACAAAGGTGATAACTTTTTGCTTATTGAGACATTTGTTTCTGGAACATCTGCAATGCCATACTTTTCCTTTAATTTCTCTGGTAATTCCTTTCAGCCCCTCTTGCTTTATTTTCCACTATTGAATTTGCAGGTGTTGGACTTTCCCAGGCCTTGATCCTGGATTCTATTCCCTTTTTCTTTTGACACAATGTCTCTTTTTAATCTCATCTATTCCAAGAGCATTGACCATGAGCTATGTAGATTACTATATTTAAAACTTCAGGTCAATTTCCTCCATTACACTTTTAATAAAATCCAATCACCTATACATGTTCCTGTATATTCTGACTCCTAGTACAAACCACACTCCCCCATGCACACACCATATATATACATCACACTATGATATAGCAATAAATGGCTGAGTCCTTTCAATACATAAGATTTCAATTTAAATGTTTTCTCTCAGAGAGGCCTGCCTTCATAACCTCATCTTTTAAATAACTTCCCACCCCAACCCATTATTTTCTATCATTGCCTTAAATTTATTTTCTCCATTGCCCTTAATCAGAGTTGAACTTATGGACATTTTGTTTTTATTCACTGCGTGCCTCCCTTGTCTAACTATAAGCTCCATTAGGGCAGGTCATGTCTGTTTATCCAGTTCTGTGTACTCAACACGTAATACAAAGCCTGGCAAATAGTAAACATTTTGTAACTATTTCCTTCAAGAGGCATGCATGAATGAATGAACAAATTTATTCTTTTCTAGTAGCTTATGCAGAAAAGCTGTGTGTTTTTTAATATCCCTCTTGTAATTTATAGTTCTATACAGATAATTCCTGAAAAAATCCTATTACAAAGTATGATGAAATCAACTATGATTTTATATCATTATCATCAATCATTTTGTCAAAATTATTTTCACATTTAATAAGTTTATAAGCATATAAGATGACAAATAATTTAACTCCAAAAAGTTTACAATTGTAACTATGAAAAGGCCAACCCAAGAGGAAAGGGTCGTTTTAGTTTTGGCCTGTTTCTCTTTTGTGTCTACATATTTTGACCAGTTTATAATTGTTTTGTTAAGAGAC